AAATAATTAATCCGTCGGAATTCTGTCGGTTTCCGTGGCTGTCGGAAATCCGTCGGTAAAAGCTGCCGTCGGAAATCCGTCGGTCACCACCGTCGTCGGAAATCCGTCGGTAAAAATTCCCGTCGAAAGTCCATCGGTCACCACCGTCGTCGGAAATCCGTCGGTCAAAATTTCCGTCGGAAGTCTGTCGGATTCCAATTGCCGACGGAGTTTCGACGGATTCCGGTTATCCCTGTTCCGTCGGAAATCTGTCAGATTTTTTTGACGGATTTCCAACGGATATTTATTTCCGATGAGATAGAACCGACGGACCAAAACCGTCGGAAATCCCTCGGAATAGGGGTTATTCCGACGGATTTCCGACGGTTTTGGCCGTCGGAAACGATCCTGTTTTTTTGTAGTGTAAAAATTGCCGCATACCCCATTTTTCTTAAATTTTTAATTTTTAATTTTATTTTTTTTGGTTATTCACCAAAAAAGCCCTAAACAAAATGAGAGGAGAAAATTTTATTTAAAAAAAAAAATGAGTTGCAGAGAAAGAGATATTCTTCTCTTCCCATCGTGTGTCGTAAAGACAAAATGGTAATTAATAAAATTTATGTGAACAATATCATAGCATCTTTTATTTTGGTTATCTAATGAATTACAATTGTTTTGATAGATATTAGACCAATTTTCCCAAATTAAATTAGTTTTTGTCCAAAACAAAAAAGAATTTAATCACCACTTGGCACATAAAGATGATTAAAATAGAAAAGAATTGAAGGGAAGTGAGGGAATAATGGAGGAACACTTTGACTCCATTTCCAACATCCCATCGGCACTTTCGGCAGAAGCTTGGACAATCATCAAGGCCCTTACATGTCTTCTCGGATGCGCAAGTTTTGATTAACTTGCTGCGCAAGCATGGCTCGTACAACGAAATCCACAACCTCTTTTTAGAGATTCGTTTTTAGCCTCTTATTTTAGGAAGCTTACCTTTTTTTTTGTTTCACAAGATGCCAATTTGTTGGCGGATTCGTTAGCTAAACGAGTTCTAATAGCTTGTGATTTGTCAACGGTTTCGACGTAAGCAATAAAACGCATGTTTTGACTCAAAAAAAAAAAAAATTGAAGGGAAGTGAATTCCTGCAAGTGAGACCGCAAGAGAAATCCTAATGAAATCAAGAAACGTAAGTAAGAAAAATCAGTATATCTTGTG